GGGGTCGTGTCCGGGGGGCTGAGGTCGGGGTTGTTGCCGGCTGCAGGCCCCGTCCCCCGGCAGCAGCGGGTGCGCTGTCCCGGGCCGTACCTGTCGGTCGGGCTGGCCGGCGCGGGCAGACGCATTGCGGGGCGGCGGGAGTCTGGGGGGCCGGGGCTGTCCATCCATCCATCCATCCCTGAAGGCGGGTTTCCCCGGGGCGCCTGCCCAGCGCCTCTATTTCGCGATGAGGCTTGAGGGGTGCAGTCCTGCCTGGGCAGGGGTTGTGCAGTCCTCCAGGTGCAGTCGTGATGGACTGAAGACTTAACAGTCGCAAGGATTAAAAAAAAATAAAATGTTTTTTTTTTAATATATAAGTTTTGGACGGTCGCAAGGATTAAAAAAACCCCAAACTTGATTTTTTTATATAAGCTTTGGATCACTGAAAATGTGCACGGTTTGTGACCTGGTGGAAGCAGGAGGAAGGATCTCCTTAACGGGAAATAAGAATACTTCAGTTTTTCTTCTGTAAAAAAAAAAAAAAAAGAGTTAATCTGTTCACTTTTTTAGCAGAGATTTTTTTTTATACGGGTCCGCACATAAGTGCTTACCATTATATTTAATGTTTCTCTGCAGTTTCTTGTTCTCGCAACCCAGGTTTACGAGCAGCTTGTAGCTGGGAGATACTAGAGTTAAACGCTGGACTGCTACATTTTTTTTTTAAATAGCTAGCTGCCATAACAAAATCAGCCCCCCATCCATACATTTTTTTGTACAGCTACAGTTAAGCGTGTTGCTCCCATTGAGGATTTTTAGTGTGTATAGTTGCATCTTAAAATGCTAAAAGGTGGATTTAGTGTTGGGAGTAAATTCTGGAAAGCAAATGGCTTTCTGCAGCAGTCGGTCATCTAAGAGAGGTGCGTGAGATCAGCTAGACCGTCACAAGAAGATTTCACGGTCCCACATTTTGGTGCCTTGCATGAAGATTATTGAGTTGGTCAGTCACATTTTCAGAGGTGACTGCGGGAATGCAAGTCTCCCTGTGTATGTCACTCAGACTAATCAAATATTAGAGGCTATGCAGTGAAAATGTTTGTCATCCATTTTTGACAGCAGAGATAGACTCATCTGTTTCAGTCCCCAGCTGTTTTACCACCCTGCAAACACTGCTAGAGAATGACCTTGAGGACAGGGAGCAGTTTTGTATTAAATGAAAGAAAAGCCATTAAATATGGAATTCAATTTTGTTCAAGCTGCATCTACAAAACTTGAGTCCTGGCCTGAATTTGACCGGAGTGCTGTTTTAATACTTTAGTTGCAATTTCTTCCCATCTTCATTCTTTAAAATAACTAATCCAATAACAATTTACACCAAGGAGTTGTTGTTGTTCACACTGTAAATAATGTATGCAGTGACACTGTACAGCTTGTATATCTAGTGTCTAAAATGTGCATTTACAATGTAAATTATTAAATTTTGTCTTCTGTGTTTTTTAGCCTCTCCTATTGAAGCAAGAATTGGTAATTTCAGGAGTTAAAACTTTTCAACACCACAGTTAAAAAACGATTAGTGGAAAGAGGTAGCTGTTTGCTTTGAAAAACTGCTTCTTAATGCATTGGTTAAGTGCTCCACTCTGTTTATCAATAGAGTCAAATTAGAAATTGAATGGCAGTGGAGAAAGAGAATGCCTCTCTAAATGAGAAGGCAATGCATTTAGCAACTGCTTCTGTAGTCATTTACTGACCAGGTGCAACATTCAGCTACTTTTTTGACCTCAGGCTTTAGAGACTGTCCTGACTGAGTGATAAATGTAAGGAAATAGAACAATAGCAAGCAAAACAGCAATATGCCCAGGAAGTTTTGAGTAATTGTGGAGGTTTCCTGTGGTGGTATGACTTTCTTAATGTAAACCACAAACCACTTTCTCACCACCACTTTTTTTTTTGGTCACTTTTTTGTTCACAGTGACCAGTCTTTTCACTGGTAGTTTGCTTTCTACTC